GAATTTTCCGTGGAAAATATTTTATAGGATTTCCCATAATGAATATTCTCTAGAGTTTTCCATGGTAGGTATATGACTGGAATTTTCCACAATAGATATTTTCTGGAATTTTAATTAATAGAGATTTTTTTCGTGTTTTTTCGTTTTACATATGAAAACTTAACTTAGCTAATATTATTTCCTTTCGATACAATTTGATATTACTTACATTAAATTACTTCTATGCAAAGTTGTCAGTCAAGCATTCAATGTCAAAAAAATTTTTAACCAGTCTTTTAAAAATTTGAACAAATTATGGGATATGAGAATAATACAAATTCGAACAACACTGAATGATAAAAGCATGGGATAGTAATGGTGAAGTATATGAATGAATTGTTGATTCACTAGATGTAATTCAACATTACTGATATTTTTGAGACAGAATTTTGATAGCTTCTGGGGAAGATTTAAAAAAAGGTTTTATCAATTCGATATAAGAAATCAAATCTTACAAATACAATATTTTAGCTGTAATTATTTTGCCAGTTTTTTTCCAGATTATTATAACATTTAGAGAATTAATTAATTTCCCTGAGATTGATTTAGATTCTTCTAAATATCATTGTAATTTTTTTGCTACACACACGAATAGCTCATACTTTGCATAATTTTCATCATGTTTAAAAGTAAGTAATAAGACACAATTATTAACCCAACCAATGATATTTTGTTTTTTCAACTTGTTTTTATAATTATTCCCTTGAGATTTCATTTTATTTTAATTCAGATATGTAATACACAAACACACATCATCAAATAAATTATTTACTAATAAATAAATCACAACCATGAAGTGTCATTGATTTAATAATGTATGGCAAAATTAATTAAAAAAGGAATTAAGCAAAAATTCCTACAACAACAATATGCAAATCATTCAGTACAAATATTGGATTAAAGAACAAATATTGTTCCAACACTGTACAAATTCAAAATTCATTCAGCCGCTGACATACAAACATTAATCACATGCCAAGAAAAAAAGATTGCTGCGATCAAAACTCATTTCAAAGGATTATTATATCAAATTAAATTCTTTGCATAGCATATAAATGTACGAAATAGAAATAATTTTCATTATTTTAAATTTCGGACTGAGAAAAATTTCGACATTTTAATAATTTGTACACCAAATCTACTCATACTAATTGAGTAAACTTTGCAAAAAAAAAAATTTAAATAAAATAGAATATTAATGCATGAAACAATGCGAATTATTTGCATTGATAATAATAAATAGCAATCATTAATTGGTAATGAGCATAAGATTTTGCTTCTTCCTACTGTAATTTAAACTTGAAGATGAAGGGATACTACCTTAGAGCGGTTTTTTACCTAACTTATTGAAGTAATTAACTGTTCAACTACTTTTAATTTTAGACTTCCAAAACCGCCGAAACTTACAGGTGCATTAAGACCAAATCAGGAACTAACACATGCCGAAATATTGTTACTGAATAAAATTAATGGACCGGAATCGATTGCAGTACATGAAAAAAGCAAAACTATATATGTTGGACTTAAAACCGGTTTCATCGCCGCAATTGAAATTGATAAATTCAAAAATGTAAGCATGCTTTAATATCATTCTTGTTCAAAATTCTTTCATGTATTCTAGTTTCTATACAGAATGGGTACGATATTTTATAACAAATTCATAACAAATTCGTGCTCGAAATAAACCAGAATTGGAACCATGAATTATCCGAAATTCTTATTGAAAATAAATAATTTTGTATAAAAATGCATGACAGTAAGACTAATATTTTTTGCTCGATTTATAACTTATTATCATATTATCATTAGGCGAAATTGATGAAAAAGTTTCAAATTATTTGAAAGTAGATTATG